GTTTAGAACTCGAACATTCTTTTTTTATTGTAGCGTTTTGATATTTAACACCATTCACAAACTCTACTCAAACTACCTTTTAGTGATATATATATATATCACGTGAAATTTTGTTAGAATCACCTCAACGCATTATAATTTTTTTTTACTTGCTTATTAATAATTAGAGATATTAGTCGTTGAAATTGTGTATTGGTTTATATAATATGAGGTTTAAAAAAAAGTGACAGTTAAACAGAACAAAGGAAGTGTAATACTTAGCGTACATAATTTAAACATATGTAACAGAATGGTGGAACAAATTACAAGATTACACATCTTAATTATTTACCCAACTTGGGTTAACTCATAACTAGAGGTGTTAATGAGCTTAGCTGACTCGCGAACTACTCAAGCTCGGGTCGAAATTTTTACAAGCTCAGACACAGTTATGTTCGGCTCGAAAGCTCTTGAACAAGCTCGAAGTTTTTTTAACATCGTAACCTTAAATATTGGTAGAATATTTTAATAAGTCTAAGAAAAATAAATAAACTTAGCTATAATATTTTATATCTTAAAAATAGACATTATATTGCTACTATTTTCGAACATAATTCGAATTTTAGTGTAACTTAACTTGATAATTTAAGCTCGAAAAGCTTGAGGCTCTACTTGAACTAACTAGAGCAATAGTGTAACAAGCCAAGCCTAAGCTACCCAAACTCGGTTTTGGCTCAGTTAACACCCCTACTAATAAATAGGGATGTACACAGTTTGGTCTGGGCCGTAACCTTTGGTTTGGTCCACGGTTTGTAAAAATACCGTTTGGTTTTGATTTTTTTGGAAATACTGTTTATGGTTTGATTTGATTTTTCAAAAATTATAAACCAAACCAAACCGTAAACCAGTAAACCGTATTTTAATGTTTATATAATTTTTGTATAAATTAAATTAATTATTATATATTATAAAATTAAAAAAAAATAGAAAAAAAAACAAAAAACATGAAAAATCAAAAGAAAAGTATAAGTGTTACTGTGTGTCTGTGTTAGCACTTGATTATTAGTTGATAGTTATTTTTATTATAACTTTGTAGTACAATTTAATCCCTTTGAGCTAATTAATTAAACTTTATTATAAATTTACGAAGTATTATTTGACAATTTTTAGGAAAAAATTATCGTCTCATCATAATCCGCAAACCAACCGCACCAAATCGTCGGTTTGGTTTGGTTTCAATACTAATATGGTTTGGTTTGGTTTGAAAAATTTAACCAATCGTATTTTGTGGTTTGTTTTGGTTTTGATTCAAACCGCACCAAACCAGACCATGTTCACCCCTACTCATAACCTAATTACATCCCATCAATTTATTAAGTACACTTGCCATTGGCCTAAAACTAACATGAGAATAGAAGTCAACCCTACGTCCCTTATTTTTTTTTTTTTACCCACATTAACATTATAGAAATACAAACATTTTATGATATTATGTAGTATTATTAATATAATTTCTTATTACTCTATTAATGTTGGTTTCAAAATTGGGTTAGCAACAAATATTGATATAGCAACGGAAAATGAACTTTACTACTCTCTGGAGTCCCTCCGTCCCCAAAACTTCGACCCTTTTTGGGTTGATTTCGCGGTTATTAAAAAACTTAAATAAAAAGAAATAAAAACATATTGGAAAGAAAAATTTACACAGGATTTGTAAAATAGTAGAGAAAAAATATTAAAAATACATGAAAAAACAAAATTTTATATGGGGAAACTAATTTTGCACAAATATTGTTATAAATTGGTGGGTATTTTAATGCAAATGGGTCGCTTATTTTGAGACTAAAATTCGTCCAAAAGGGTCGAAGTTTTAATTTGAGGATGGAGGGAGTACTATTTTCATTTTTAAAGTGCCTAAATTTGACTCTTTTTTTTTAATTATTACAATCCCCTTTGACCAATATTAATGATTTATCTATAAGAAAAAAAAAATTGTCATATTGGTTTTTGTAAAAACGTTTTAATGTATAGTTTTTGTATATCAACTCTTTATAATTTGTACTTATTGATAATTAAAGATAGTATTAGTGCCACACACCCTAGCTTAGTCAAATTGGAGCACTTAAAAAGACAAATATTAATTGATTGACTTAACCAAAAAGTTGATTTGCGTAGATCTTGAATTCAAAATAAATTGAATATAATTATTTGTATTCATCTTTGAAATAGAATTTTTAGCTTTAATCATGACTAAACCTTGTATATATCCGACTTAAACCCAATAATGATTTTGACATAATTGTGATTGGCTTAATTCAAACATTACCCAGCTTGACCTTGACATTATGCAATCCAACTAAAGTTGATTGGATACTACAAAATAGAGATGACAATGGATCGGATTCGGATTCGGATAGGATAGAGCTTCACCCGCATCCATCCATTGTTCTAATCGCTTCATCCACATCCATATGTCACCCGCTTCCACATCCATCAACTCCCCTTTTTCTCTCTTCTCTTTATCTCTCCTTTCTCTCTCCTCTCCTTCGCTCTCTTCAGTCTCCCTCTCTCCTTTGCTACTTCCTCTCCTCTCTTTCCTCTTCGATGTTGAATTCTGGCCAAGCTAGCCCACAAAGCATCCCTGATTCACTTTCCGACTAATCTCCCAGCGTGTTTTTTTTATATCTAATTTATGGTTTTAAGATCTAGCGTTTTCATGGTCGAATATGGTTTTATATAACCAATTTCAAGACTAATTTCGGTTGATTGTGGTTGAATCGGTAAGCTTTTATCTTTTGTTTTCAATTTTTTTAGTTCTGAATTTTTATCTTTTTTTTGTCATGAATTTTTTTTTTTCGGGTTTCTAGATGTTGGGTTGGGATTTTAATTTTTTTTTGTTTAATTTTTGGGTTGTAATAGTTTGTTTTGGTGGTGGTGGTGGTTTTAGGTGGGTGGTGAGGTGGTTTGCTTAGGTGGCCGTGGGGTGGTAGAGCTGGGCTCGTTTGTGTGGGTTAGGGTTAGGGTTAGGTGGGTAGGGGTTTTGGTGGTTGTGGGTGGTGGAATGGGACAGGTTAGAGGGGCTAGTGATACGGGTTAGGGGGTTGGTGGTGTGGGCTGGTGGTGGGGAGTTAGTTAGGGGCTAGTGTAGTGGCGGTTGTTTGATGTGGTGGTAGTGGCGGTGGTCTGATGTTGGGGTAAGGGTTTTTTTTGGTGGTTGGTGGTGGTTGATGCGCCGTGCAGCGGTGGCGCGACGTTTTTTTTTTATTTTCATAAAAACAGTTTCCGACGGAATTTACAATTCGGTCGGAAATTTCCGGCTAATTTTCTTGGTGCTGGAAAACCTCTTTCGACGGAAAATTCCGTTGGAAATTCTGTCAAAAAAGTGTTTCTGACGGAATTTCTATCGAAAGAAGACAAATTTCCTAGGAAGCTTTTTCGACAACCGATTACGACGGAATTTCGTCGGACACGGGTTTTCCGACGGATTTTGGGGTTCCAACGGAATTTTTCCGTCAGAAATGACCCTTTTTCTAGTAGTGTTTACCCATCATCCATATCCTTTCGTCCATCATCCGCGGATGAAACGTGTGGAGCAGATGACTAATTGTCCCACACTAAAGACTAAAGGGGGAGTGTAGTGGTAATGGAATTCTACATAGAAATTAAGAATCAAGAGTTACCACCACTATATAATTATACTAAGGGGCTATCCCCTCATTGGCATATGGTTTTGAGATGGAACCTCCTTGGTCTTGTGGAGTGGTGGACTTGCACTCTCCCGTGACAGGTGCGGTCTAGACCCGTATTTAATATTTATACAAAAATTTTATTAATAAAATAAGGAAACAATAACAACATATTGTTTGAAAAATAAATTTGCAACAAAAAAACAAGTAGTTTTATTGGACATTTCATATTTTATTATTAAATTTCTTAGATTAAAAATTAAATATATGTTAAACGGGTGGGTAGATGGTTAGCGGGTGAAAAAAGTATCATCCACTTTCGATCCATCACCTGCTTCATCCGTCACCCGCTTTTCACCCATTTAATTCGGGTTTTTGTCCATTTATTTAAAGCGTGTGGAGCGGGTTAGCAGATATCCATGAAATATTGCCATCCCGACTACAAATGACTTAACCTAAATTGAACCAGGTCAATTTGAGAATAATCCAACTTTAACTTCACCCAAACCTTAATAAACCCACAATAAAACAGCCTATTATGGACCCAACACAAGCAAAAGTTAAAAATGAACCGTACCCAACCCTAATGTGACTCAAGGTCAAACCAAACTTGCACCCAAAAAGGTAATGACTCGTCACAATATGAATCGACCTTTGCTAATTTGAATTTGAATTTGAACTTGAACTTGACTTGGAGCCAAAACTTGACTTGGAGCCAAAAGGGACCCAACTTAAAATATTACCCATAACCCGACTTAACTAGACCCGAACCCAACCTAATTGCCTAAATTGATAGCTGGAGCCTCAATATTTTTCTTGCACTACAACTCAATCCGCACTTTTGATTAATTGAAGATTTTCAAATTAATGAAATGGATCTGTTAGAGTAACACTTATCCTATCTTATCCTATAGGATACACAACTAATGGATACTTGATTACACCTTAAAAATGTTCACATTTATCATCATTTATTGAGATATCAGATCATAAAGGGGTAGATTTTTGCAGACCGTAATCCCATATAATCAAAACCACGTGTCCTGACTGTCCCCACCACACAAAGCTTGAATTAATATTTTAAAATTTTTTCAAACCAGTATTTTCTTGCAAATATTACGAGCATAAATCCAGCGCCGAGTCTAATTCCGGTTTAATTATGTCACTCAAAACCCTTAAACCAATTAACCTTTTTCTTCAATGACATGTAAGAATCTTATTGGTCAATATAGGTCTTCATTTTTCTACTAGACTAGAAAAATGAAAATAAAATACTTGTAAAAAAGGGGGAGAAATTAAGGTGAAATTTCAAATCACTGGGCTATAAATACACTATAGTGTCCTGGAAAAAAAAATACCCAAAATAATAAAAACTAAAAAAACAGAGAAAAAAAAAAGTGAGGTTTGAGCCAAAAATCCGATCAGTCTTGTAATGGTCTGATCAGATGGCGGACGATCCTCCTTCCCACCTCGCTCATGTTCCATTGCCTTCGAACCCAGGTTCAATTTCTTCCTATTAAACTTCTGTTTAATTTATTTTTATGAATTATTTTTGGATTTGCTGATTAATTTTGGGAGTTATGGTTTACCATTTATAATATAGTTTATTAAATTATTCGAAACTTTTAATGGGTATTCAAATAAACTTTATTTTTGGTTGAAATTTATTGTTTTTTGAATTGGGTTTGTGTTCATTTGTTATTTTGTTGTTGCCATTGTTGCATACATGGTTTGTAGAACTGTTTTATATGTTGTTGTATTGTTTTTGGTATTTTGATTGAATATGTTTATATTGATTTTTTTTGGAATTTTTGTGTTATGAAATTAACATTAGGTTATTGGATGAATTTTGTGTATGATTTTTTTGTCTGATGGAGCTGTAGTTTTGCCTGTTTTGGATTCTGAAATGGTAAAGGTAGTGCATAAGTTAGGCAAAAATGGTGCTGCTGATGTCTCTCGTGGCGACGAAATGCATGCTTAGTTTATTTGATGCTGTGGTTGTATATGTTCATTTATAGAGGATTTGAGGTCTGAGCTATGTTGAGTTGATTGAAATTTAAAATATGACCCAGCATTTTGTGTTTTACCCTAGTTTAGTAGAAATGATTGTTTAGCTCATCTCTAGTTGATTCTCCTTTGGGTTCTGGGATAATCTGAATTGGGGGTGCCATTTTGGCCGATGATTGGGTTTTCGATTGCAGTTCATATTTACATGGGTTGTTGATAGAAATTCTTAGTGGAGAAGTATATACCTTATATATGGGGAAAGCAACGTATTCAAATTCATATTTCTTTGTTATATGTTATTTCCCTCACTATCTTTATGTTTCCTTGAATCTGTGTCATGGAGACGAAGAGGTAAAGATCAAAATCATCCATTTGTATATTTGTTTAGTTGACACGAGTAACTGTGTTTTGTACAGGTGGGTTAGTTTCCGATGATGCTCCACCAGTTCCAATTTATATTGTCACCGAAGCTTCACAGCTTCCAGTGGAGTTCTTAGAGCCAAGTCCTGAAACAAAGCTAGTAATTGGCTTCGATTGTGAGGGTGTTGACCTGTGCCGTTATGGAACTCTTTGTATCATGCAGGTGATTGACTATTCCTGTTACTCTCGAGGCATCAGTTAAAACTTGTCTCTGTTTTCTATTTTCTATTTTTTTCTTGTTTATTGACGGGTAGGGTTGGTTGGGGTTTAGGTGGTTTGTTGCTGCTGGGTGTTTGGATTTGATCTGATTTTATGGATTTCGTAATTCACAACCATATGATCTTGCTGTACTAGGTGGCAGCTATACAGTGAGTAGATTTTACATTTCTACTTTGTGTGGGACTTGTAGATTGATATTACTATGGGAGCAGTAAAGTATTGTATATTTATATATTTTGTAAATAGTATGGTTTAGATCATTTTCCATAGTTTGAGCTGAATGTAGACTATGTAGTGGCTTACTTTTCTCTTAATTGCAGATTGCATTTCCTGATGCTATATATCTTGTGGATGCCATAGAAGGTGGAGACATGCTCATAGAAGCATGTAAGCCTGCTCTTGAATCTAGATACATCACTAAAGTTATACATGACTGCAAACGTGATAGTGAGGTCTCTAATTGGTCTATCCACCATCTATAATTGCTTGATGTTTTGCTTTGAACTAAATATCTGACGACTTTCCATTTTCTAGGCATTGTATTACCAGTTTGGCATCAAGTTACATAATGTCATGGACACCCAGGTTAGCATTTTTCTGTATATCTGAATAGTCAATATTCAGAGTAGCTATAATTATGTACCTCATGTTTTGCTGAATTGCTTCTGTGTGATTTTTGATAGTTGATATTTTGGCTGCATGTTGTAGTGATTCTAGAGATGTAAATGTGAGAAGTCATACGTTTGTTTTGTTCCTATTGTGATTTGTAGTGGACTAAGATTAAAAAGGCATTTTTTAAATTCAAGAACCTGTTTAGGGTCTTCTAAGGTATAGGAATTTAAAAATTTGCAATGCTTCCCTAAGGAATTTATCCTGTTATCTTTAGGAGTCTCTCCCTTTTTACATATCCGTACATTGGCTATTTTGATTCAGTATCTTCATTACAAACAATATCCGGTCAATTATTTCTGTTCATGATCCCAAAGTCTCAAGTTTTATGACTTTTATCCTTCTATACTTACACCACCTCTCCGTATTCTATAATACTTGGTTTGTTTAAACTGTGTTAGAGGAAGGGCATTGCATTCTTCCAATTTGATGTCTAGAAGATCACAATATTTACTTTCGTTTACTGATATTTGGGCAGAAAATTGAGGAATAAGATGGAAATTTTCTTTAAAGCAAGAGATTACAGAAAATTAACTTCAACTCAAGCTCTTAAGAGGCTTGTTCTCTCTCAAACTGTAAAAACAAAACTGAAATGAACACAAAATAAATTTCCTCATTCCCATTCTCTCACTATTTTGCTCTTATTTATAGCATTTCCCCTCTACGCCACCCACTTATCTTCCTCCTGAAGATACTATTACAGTATTACTGAATTATATTGCAGTATTTGCACTACCTATAATGCCACGCCAGTCCATTACAGTTACTGTCTAAGTATGAAAAGTATATTCAATATCTCAATGACCAGAGTACTGGATCTTTGGATCTTATTGAACTATTTTTGCTGAAGAATGTTATGTTGGGATGTGAAAATTCTCTATCGAGTTGCTTTAACTTTCTTTTTATTTTTATTACCTTTTGTCTCCAGTGTAAATATCCTTATACTCCCTCCGTTATTTTTATGTCATATAATACTCACTATAGATATGTAATTAACAAAAAATAAAATTATTGAAAAAGGGGAGTGGGTTGTAAGATAAAAGTAGGATAAAGTAAGAGAGATAATGTAAATAGGTGGTGGGTGGAAGGAAAAGGTGAATAAAGAGAGAGTGTGAAAAGTTAATTATCGTAGGGTAAAGGGGTAAGATGGTGAAACGTATGTCTAAAATAGAATAAAGCAAAGTGAGTAAAATGAAAAAGAACGGACTAATGGAAAGTGAGCAGAACAAAAGAGAACGGAAAGAGTATGTACTACTGATTCCTGGCACCTAAATACCAATTTCATTTTACTCGGCTTCATGACTGGGTTTAATTAGCCTTTTACCTCTAACATCTGGCAAGTGGCAACTTATGCGATTCAACTAGTAAAAATGCATAGCAATCTATGTATACTATGTATTAAAAGGCGTTCCTGATCAAGGATACACGCCACGTGTCACCCATCTCTTCCACCAAGAATATGCCATGTCATACAATTAAAAAATATGCACGGTACATGTCAATTAAAAAATGTTTATGTCAGGAATTGAACTTGAGTTCTTTAGAAAATAAATAAGAAGTCATACCATCTTTGCTATCTACTACGTAATAGTTGTGACATTTCATTTCTTACCGCATTTTCAAACCGATTGCTTTTTATATATCGCGTTGGATGATTCCAAGTTCCAACGCTTTGCTTATTTATTTTTCTTAAATATAGTTAATGTAGACCATGAGTTTTTTTTTTTTTACAAATTATTTTTTCGACCCAATTATAAAAGTATAAAGATTATTATAATACATGAAAACTATAATATAAGAATATTTAACGTATAGACCCCTGTGCTAAATATTAGTTTGACTAATTATTTGTCACATAAATATGAGCTTTTTTGTGTGCTGGATTGCTAGTGAAGTATCATTTTGGTTGACCTCACTAAGTGAGATTCATCTTCTCTTGATTGGTTTCTTACAATTGCTTACTATGAATATGCATTTGTTTTTCATTCGCATCCGCTTGTTAAGGGCATGTTACTGACTGTATTGCTTACATCTTTTATTTTTTTTTAATTTTTTTAATTTTTTTTTATCTATTTTTTATCAAGGATGTAGAAAATTTTAAGTCCTACATGAATTGACGTGATTGATATATATTTCACAGATAGCATATACCTTGATTGAAGAACAGGATGGTCGTCCCAAAGGGCCCGATGACTACATCTCATTTGTTGCTCTTCTTGCAGATCCACGCTATTGTGGTATTATACTTGTCACGGTATTTATTTTATTGTGCCTAACTTTTAAAATGCTTTTACACAAAAATGAAAGTGTAACAATAAGGAGTGCAGTGTAGAAGTAGAATTATAGACCACACCTTTAAAATTTTACTTTCTTAAGTGTGGGTTACTTTTACTAGGGTAGGCTGTACGCCTGTACCTGAACTTAGGTAAATTATGCTTCTAATATGGGTAAAACTGTTTGGGAGATCATCCAGATTTTTTCTGTGTATCATATCCTTGTCTCGTATGGCTAGACTTTTCTTACTAGTTATTAGATTTTGAAACTAGGAAAGTTCAACTTAGTTACAGCAAGAGTAGAATTGTTGGCACTCCATTGCCTGTTTACCAGAATACCAGTCTTAATCTGTAAACAAGTTGATTAATTCATTTGTAAAGAATTCTAGATATTGTGTTAGGAAACTTTCAATGGAGTTGAGATTAGTTGTCCTATAGTGGAGAAAGAGAGGAAGGATGACTGGCTTATAAGATTCATGAGATATTCCATCAAATAAACCAATTGGTTTTTATATGAAGCCTTATTGTGTTTGTAGTCAAATAATCTCCCCGGGTGCGGCTTTTGTCTTATCCCTACCTTTTAAAAAGTATGAGATAACTCTTATGGATAGTGTTTGGACAGTTATATCCATTAAAATGTTTGATAACTTTTTTTACCCTCATTAATGCTAATTGTCTTTTTCTTAAATTCCTCAAAGAATAGTGTGTGGACATTTATACCCTTAAAAAATTTGTTTACATATTTTACCTCATTAATATTGCCAACAACTAAGTTTGTGACATAAGGTCATATCGAAATAGCTCAACGGACATGACTAGCTATGGCGCGTGCATCGCACGCGTTAGCCGCCCTATCTAATGAAATTTATTTTCGTAGCCGAGTGGACGATTTAGGCCTATTATTAGCCTAAAGGAAAGGCAAATAACTTAAAAATTGCTAGATGACATGAATATGAATATTTGTTTGGAGCAAGTAGCCTAACAGAATTGTAACCAATTGACCTTGTGTTGGAAATCTAAAGAGGGACCTAAAAGGATGGTATTGACCTAATTATATAGCTAGATTATAGATGGCTCACATGAGAGGTAATGCAATGTGGGTAGTATAGGAAAACAACTTGTATAAGGGCTAGTTAGACCACATTGAAGAAAGAGTGGAAAGATGACCAACTTATAAGACTAGTAGGTTATTCCTATCAGGTCTCGTTTATGTGCCATTGTGCCAATGAAGATTTGTTTTATCAATATGTTGACACAACTTCTTACCTATGGGGACATTCAACTTTTGCATATGGTAATTTTAGGTCAGAGTCTTGGAGAAAAGGGGGAGGGTAGAGCGTCACAAAATGTTATTCTTTGGTAGCACTTGCTTTATTGGTTATTGGAACAAGAGTGATAACATCTCAAATCTCAATTGAACAACTATTTGGAGATAGATTGCGTAATTTGGCATGTATGCTGGCTATCCCATTAACTATAATCTTGATGATTAAAGAATGATGTGCATCTTGGATATAGATGTGAAGATTTACTTTGTAAATCTCTAGTTTCTAGTTTCCTTTTTGTATGACCTGGCTTCCTCTAAATTGGGTTTTAATGACAAATGCTCTGAACAAGAATGCAACCTGCAATGAGTGGTTTTTTTTTGTTTTTTGGGTCCTGGAATGTCTTCTGGTCTCCCTGAAATTGTCTTCCAGTGATTGGTGAAAACTGATATTGTTCAAATTTTACTATATGTGAATGGCATGCAATCGTGAAACTTTACCTAGAGTTTAGCATTAACGTGACATTGGAAGACCTTCATCCCATATTAAGATTGCTTGAGGTGCGTCAAGGTGATAGGGATTTCCCTGTGCCTTAGGCGTGCCTTGGTACAATTTAAATAAAGGTATGGGAAAAAAAGTTGTGCTCCTTACCAAAACCGCCCTGCTTGGACCAAAAAAGGCGCATGGCTTGCTTGCGCCACAGTGCCTAGGCGCACCTTATACACTGGTGAGATAAGACCCTTTACATGATTTCCACGCCACAAACTCAGATTTTATTAAATTCTAGTCAGCAATCAGTCATTTCTGGCCCTGCAAAGCCGTATCCATAGTGCTAATACTCTTAAATATTCACATTAGTATGATGGCATGACCAAATTGGTCAAATTAAAAAAAATTTGGATTGTGTTGTGCCGTTGTTTACTGATGATCTTCTTCATATGCTTGTGTTACATTATGCAATGTGACCTTTTCAGTTTTATCATGCTTGAAGTTCTTGATTTATATTTTCGTTCATATATAACTCTCTTTAAAATGTATGTCCTCTGCAGGAATATCTTATCTTGAGAAGGAGGAGGTTCGGATTCTCTTGAGGCAGGTGAGTTTCAAATAGTCTGTCATTTTTGGTTTAAAGATGGGACCAGACATTGAGTTTCTACTTAATAAGATGTTTTTGAAATGATGCTAAAGCCTAAATGCATCTGCTACCTTTTTAAACTTTCATTTTTGTGTTGATTGAAAAGTAAATTCATATTCTTAAGAATAGGGTCCATTAGGCTCTTTCCCCATATTATTCATGGGTATTTTATATTAGAATGGTTAGGCTTAGGAAGTCAGGATTGCTTGGTTTTAGAGAAGAAATTTGGCATTGCTAATTAATCTATGTAGAAGTTTATATACATGGATGTTTTAGTATAAGCACATTCTTCTCAACTATATTGCACTGTGCTAGTGAGTCACAAAGACAAATTGACAATTTACTAATGAACACAATGGCCCAAATAGTGTAGCAACTGTAGCTCCATGTAGTTATGTATTTTAAGTTTTCTTCTATGATTATATTTTCTGACTGGCTTCCACGCAAGCTAGATGATGATTCTGCAATGATATTTTGCACTATCTTGAGATTTTAGGGAGAAATGACTTAACTGCTGTATGACTTATATGGTTGGACCAGTTATATCTGCTACTTTTTGGACATTCAACGTAATTAACAACCCTCCATTCTGGCCTTTGGCACAGTAACTTTTCTGTTTCAAATTTTTTTTTTACTGACATTTGTATTTCATTTTCAGGATCCCAAGTTCTGGAAATACAGACCATTATCTGACCTCATGATCCGTGCAGCTGCTGATGACGTCCGTTTTCTGCTTTACATCTATCACAAAATGATGGAGAAGCTAAATGCCCAATCTCTGTGGAACCTTGCAGTTCGTGGTGAATTGTATTGCCGCTGCTTCTGTATAAATGATGATAACTTGGCTGAATGGCCTGCTTTGCCTTCTATTCCAGGTTTGTCAATACTTTTAGCCATAAATTAAACAATAAAAATTTTGTAGCTACTATATGAAGTGCTATAAAATTCTCGTGGGACAAAATAAAAATTCAAGTGCTTTTGTCTTTTTCAAATTAGTGTAGAGAAGTAAAGATTAAGTCACACACTTTTTATATTGAGTTATCATCTTGGGTTCAAACAGCCTTAAGACTGCATGTGGATGAGTGATATATTAATGAAGAGTGTTTTCCTCACAAATTCTATCACGGAATGACTTCTTTTTGGCATAAGGTTTTCTTTAATGTAATTTGGTTCAAAAACTACAAGGTCATGGCTCATATTTCTGTAACAGAGCATGATTTAAATTGAAACATGAAGTTATGTACAATTAAAATCAGTACTTTATTATCAAGAATATATCGAAAAAGAATTTATTGGATCTCAAACAAACCCTAATGAAACATATGAGTAAACCCGAGCCCAAAGGCATGAAAACATTTCTGTCCTATGATAATGCCTGTTTCTTCTTGAATATTATTTTTTTTTATCATGTGCACATGCATTTGTGCTTGTTACCATTTGGTGTGTGGTCTTGAGGTTATTGTCTCCTCATCTCACCACTGGAGAGTGGCAACTGAAGCTTGTTGATGAATGACAGTAATGAATTTGTTGTTCTCCTTTGCATGTGATGCCAGAATCGAGTTATCCTTTTTCACTTCCTGCTTTAAGAGGTTGTTGTGAGGCTTAAGCCTATATTGGTAATCACCTAATATTCTGTGTTTCAACTTTATGTGTAATTCTTTTTGGAGTGAACACAGAACGATTTGGTTGCCTCCTTGATGAGATGAGAACCTTGTTGACCTGGTGTGTTTATTATTCAGATGACCTGCCTGTGGACACAGAAGCTCCTGAAGAGGAAATCCTTTCTGTTCTTGATGTTCCGCCAGGGAAAATGGGACGTGTGATTGGCAAAAAAGGATCTTCAATTCTGGCAATCAAGGAATCGTGCAAGTAATTTTCATCTACTTTCTTTAACTCACACGATTTTCTAAATACTTGAAACTTTGAAGTATCAGCTGGTCTTGCTGTGTTTAATTTTTAAGTTCCCAGTTTTTTCAACATTGTTTTAAAAGTGATTCTACCTGTTATTCTTTATATTTGCAAGAATTACATCTGACACAGCTGTATATGTTTGTGATCTACAGTGCAGAGATTCTCATTGGAGGCTCAAAGGGTCCCCCTGATAAGGTGAGTTTGGAAATCTATGAAGTAGGATATTAACACCCTATTGGTACTATAGTAATTATGTGTTTCTCCTGTGATGCTACAATGAGGCATGTACCTGATGTGAAACCCTCATTAGGTTACAACAGAGCTACAATTGATCGTCACCATCTCCACTTGCTATTCTTTTCTTATTTTTAAGGAAGCAAGAACGGAAAGACCTTCAATTTCCATCGTTAACCTTAAAAGTCATTGCCAAAGGCCCAAAGATAGAAAACAATATAAAGTCCTTATGCAATCACAGAAAGTATTTACCTCCTTTCTGTTGCAGATTCCCTTTATATCGCTTAACAGTTATTTAGTTGAAAGTATTCCATAACTTTTATGTAAAGGTATTTTGTAATTATGCAAGACTACATTAATCTAAATCCCACTTTATATAGGAGCCTCATCAAAGACATCAGAGGACTTTTGTCTCCATATGTGTAGCTTGAAGTACAACCATTGCTATGTTACTTATATAGTACTGTTGTTTTATGTAGGTTTTCATCATAGGCCCAGTGAAGCAAGTGAGAAAAGCTGAGGCCATGATAAGGGGAAGAATGCTGGACATGCAATGAACAAATAGTCTCTTGCAATGCTTTGGATTGTACTGATACAATCTATCTCAATAATAATAAATGGAACTTTTAAAGACACTTCTTTTCTCCAGTTCTGAATTTTGAGGCTGTTTTGCTCTTTAGTTCTAAACCCGCGTTAGTTTATTTGAGCTTCTCCAAGGCACTTCTTGGAGGATCTCTCTAGTATTTTTTAGCAGAGTAGTTTTTGCATGAATGTCAGAGATGACTGGGAGCTCTCCCTGGAATCTAATTGCCGTAGATGCATGAACCTTAGCTTGCTATATGCTGTCCGTCTGTTTTACAATATGTTGAATGTATAGTGTTGATCAATGTAAACGTGAAGCTTGCCATTGATACAATTTGTAGCTTTGATGGTATGTTGCTCGAGTGCTGATATTATATTTTTAGAGTGTGGAATCCTGATTAGCATTGGAGATGTGTCCTTGAATTCTGTTTTATCATAACTTCATTGTATGTGCATGGAATTGTAGGAGTCTATGTCGGGTAGAAATATAAAGTTTCACAGATGAACTTTGGTTATATTGTCTACAAATCTCTAGTTCCTTTTCTTTTTTTGAACATTAGATGTTTCCTTTGCCTCCTTCCCTCTGAATTCTTCTTTCAAATTAATTATGATGGAATCCCAAAAAAAAATAGGTCATAGCAAGAGTAGTCGTAGAACTTTATGTAGGATTAAGGGAGTATTTCACCAAATTTCGTCACTAGAAATTAAGCTAGTCATACACTCATACATAAGTTATATTCACAAATGACAACCTATAAGAGACTAGAACTTGTGAGTTGTGACTAGCAAGAGAAGGTGTAGTAGAATACTCATTTTTATTAACAACCATTGACATTATATTGAAAAACCCAATGCTAAAACCTTGTCTCATAAAACATAAAAAATGTGACCAAATTAGATGAAAAGTTCCCTTCTAGTTGGGAATCGATCTAATGCTTTACTAAAACTTTATTCAATATAAGCCTTTTACAAGATTTTATTGTGAAAATCTTTTGATTCAAGAACTTTCGATCTTTACAAGAGTCTGGATTATCTTTGGCAAAGTGTGTAGTAGATAAATGGTGTCTTGGATTGAAATATGTTATCTTCATAATTATCACTCGCATATATTTTTGTTCAATAAACTATTGTATTTATGGAGAATATCAGTTCACCAATGTCACACGAAAACATTGAATTGTTTTTGCATTAATGAAACTAGTATATGAAAAAAGGGTGCAATAATTAGATAAAAATAAGTAGAAAACGTTCATTCAATTTAAATTTAATGAGAAAACATCAATAGCTTTCATGCAATTTAAAATTTAAATCTTTTTTAGATTACATTTTGTATGGCATAAATTGTATAAATAAAATAGAGGTGAACATTGGGTGGGCCGGGCCGAATCAAGAGAATTCAACTCACTTCTCAGTCGGTGAAAATTTTACACTACACCCCGGTGTAGCTTCTGCTACCTACACCCCCCCTCCCCAAGTGACGTCATTTTGTTCTTTTTTGTGTTTACTTTTTTTTTTCTTTTTTGTAATATACCATTGCAAGTTAATATAATGTTTTGAGTTTCAATTCCATGTAAAAATTATTGTACTCGTATAAAATAAAGAGTGTGAAGAGATTTCCATGGTATCAATTATAATAAAGCAATTAATGATCCTAACTCACAAGAAAGCAACTCAATAAGCAAATTGCAAGCCTATTCGAATCAATTACAAACAAATTGCAGTTGCTATGACAGCGGTGGTGGCGTGATGATGGTGGTTATGTGGCAGCGGTGATAGCAGCGGCAGCGAGACAACAGTGGTCATGGGGCAATGAGGCAACAATGGTTATTGTGGCTTAATTAGTTGAGTGGGTTAGAGGGGGAAAGCGCAAAGGATTAAGAAACAGGGAAAATATAAAGAAGCTCAAATCACCATTGATAAAAGCTTGCTTCTGATTTTAATGAGAAGTGTATAATTTTTAAATTTTTTTATAAACAAAATATTCGTATAATTTTATAAACAAACATATAATATTTTTAAAATGAACATATTTATTTAATTGTCGTAAATGAACATACAATTATTTAAAATTGAACATATAATATTTCCAAAATGAACATATTTATTTAATGGTTGTGAATGAACATACAATTATTTATAATTGAACATATAATATTTCATAAATGAACATATTTATTTAACATTTGTAATTGAACATATAATATTTCAAAACTCAACATATTTATGTAATAGTTGTAAATGAACATACAATCATTTATAATTGAACATTTAATTAAGGAGCATTATCATAGATGAAAAATGTATAAAAATTATAATTTTTGTACTTGTTATTAAAAATTTTTGAAGGTAGCACACACTCCTTATTGTAATTGTATGTAAGAATCATTTCCATGACAACTGCTATATAACACACACTCTTATTGAAATTCCTTATTAAATTTGTAAAATTAACTACTTCATGATATAATTGGGTGCTTTAATTAGTAGTATAAAAATATGTTTATCATATATCAAAATTCTAATAAATGTATCTTAATATGCATTTGATCATATAATATTAAACATTTACCAATTAAAAATGAACATTTATCAAAGAAATTTCCACTTCAAAATATAAAAAGAACAAACATTTATATGTGAATGATCATGTGCTAATATATAAATGAACATTAATTATATTAATAATCTATTAACATGTGAATAACATCATACTAAAATATAAATGAACATTTACCAAATTGAAAATGAACATTCATAAAAAATAGAACTTTCCACTGCGAACTAAATTTACAAATCTATACTCATACGAAATAGATTAAATCATCCAGAAATTTGCGACAATTATACTCTTTTTTAATTTTTTGAGTTCAGCAATTTTATAAACTAATAACACACCACAAATTTACTTTTTTTTCCCCATTCTTTTTTTTACAAAAATAAGTAAAATTATATCATCATACTTACTTTTATACATTTTCAAGTTGGATGTTTATTTTATTTTCATGAAAACACAATTGCCAACAAAAATCAGTAAAAAAAAACTAGGACATTAAACTTGTGTTTTCATTTCAAAATCAACAAAAACACTTACAATTTCGATTTTCGACTTTGTTTTGGTACTTTTATCCAGGGATTGTGTAAGTTTATCTCATATATTAGACATTGTGCTTGACTATTATAGAGAATTATAACTTTTTACTGAAATTTATTTGCAAATATTGAAGATTTTGATGAGAGAGAAAATGGAGAAATAAAATGAGAAGAATGAAGGGAGAAAATTTGAATGGTGGTTCAATTTTTTTTTTTTTTTTTCATAATGTAGTGTGTGGGGTATAGATGGTTACGGTAACAACTTGCAAGAGGATAGTATATGAGAAGTGAGGAGTTAGTAGGAGAAAGGGTAAAACGGTACCGTTTTGTATGGGGGTGTAGGTAGTAGACCCTACACTAGGGTCTAGTGTTCACTAATTACTCAGTCGGGCCAAGCTTCAGGCCAAAATTTTTGTGTCGAAACCCGCCCAAAATGGTCGGGTCATGTGGGCTCTTTGGTCCATTTAAGGGCTGGGCCAAAAAAAGTAACTAAAAATGCATTCCACTGCCAAAAAAATAAATGTTGGGCCGGGCTGGGCCCGACACAATTTCGGGCTGAAAAATTCTAACCAAAACCTATTCAAAATCGAGTCGGATCAGGTTGGGGTAACTTTGATCACTTCTAAAGGAAAGAATGAAACCTTTTCTTTTTTAAGTTAAATATGTAAATTGTAATATTGTCACAAACTCACAATGAATAGATACTAAATTACTTGAGAATCGAATAATAATGTTTTTTTAATTTAATTTTATTTTTATTCACAATATTGTTATATACTAAATTTTTTGTAATCATGTGATAATCATATAATATCACGTGAATAAATTTGAAAAACATATGTATAATATATTTGTATCAGACTTGACTAACTCGTTTTGTAGTTTCATAACTAGATTATTTTATTTTTTTTCTTAAACACCAAACCGTGATATTACAATTAAATTTAACGAAATGAGAATATGAAATTAATTTCACAAAACTTTTAAAAACCTTAATTCACACTGATCAAGTGAAAAGTACACGATTTAAGCCAGTTGGCATCCACGCAGTGAATAGTGGTTAGATGCTAAATGACATGAAATTTTTTACTCTATTATTTAAGTGAACAATTCATCATGTAAATATTCTATCCAAAAAAAAAACCAAATTTTTTTTTTAAAAAAAATAATAAAAAAAAAATAAAAAAATCATACATTTTCAATAAAGAAGGTGACGATAATACGTTCATTCTTCAATTACAATTCGCAATTTCATGGTTTCAATCCTCCATTAAAATAACTTCGGAATCTCCATTGATTGCTCTCTCTCTTCTTGAACCACCGATTCTCGCTACTCAATAAGGTATTTCTACTTTTTTTTTTTAATTTAATTGTTTGTTTTATGAAAAAATTGAAATCAATTAATTTGATGTGAAAAAATTGAAATCAGTTAATTCAAACTCAGATCTATGTTGATTTTTTTCATAATTTGCTTACACATTATTGAATTTGATCCTGTTATATAATTTTCAGATCTCAATCAACATGGATTTCATGAAGGTTGTCGATCAAGCTGTTCGCGAAATGTAATTCTTCTTAATTTAGTGTAAATGGCAATTTTATTGTTGATTTGTGTGAAATTTTGGAGATTAGGGTTTAGGTTTGCTGATTTTGGGTAATTTTTGAACTGTGATTGTAGAAAACGAGAGGTGAACTTGAAGGTATTGAAGGTTCCTGAGATCGAGCAAAAGGTTAGTTATTGAATTAAAATGCATTATGTTTTTAATTGATTCATTCATTTTGTGTACGCTTTATTAATTTGGTGTTGATGAAGTGAAATTGCAATCCTGGGGTAAGATTTTAGCTATAAGAGCTTCAATTTTAGTCAATACTAAGTATGTTCTAATGTTTTATATTGGGTTCTTTCATTGTATGATTCAAACGACTAAATTTCCTGTACTATTTGATCTGGATGGCTCGGGTTTGATCTGTATTTTTATTTATTTATGTGTGTGATCATTGTGAAGGGTATGATTTGTACTTGGCAACATGTATTTAGAACTTTTCTCAAGCTTATAAGGGAGCTAATGACCAAAATAAGCTCTCTTTCAATGTGTTTATTGGATAATGTTACTGATTTCACAGTTCGGTTGTTGCAAATCTGTAGAAGATTTTTTGAAGTTTCCTAATGTTGGACACTGTAAAATGTGATATTTTAGAACTAAATTTTGTTGGTGAAGCATAAAAAAAACATTTATTAAGAACTTGCTGCTTTGGCACTTAGTATTGAATTCTAATGGATAGCTGAGCAATATCACCGTCTAGCCACTAGAATTTTGAGTGTCACTTGGTTTTCTTCCATGAAGATACCATCCACTAGGAAGGGAGTCGTAGGTGGAAATTATTCGTAATCCTTGGGGGATAACCCATACATGTAAATTTCGATTTTTTTTTGTTTAGTTCCAACAACTTCCAAGGTACCTTTTTCTTTCCTTTTCCTGTTTTTCCCCTCATTTGCCTTTTTATTGGGTGGGCGGATGGGGGAAGGGGGTGGGTTATCAGAGTATGGTGCATTGTGCTATTATAGAGTGATAATGAACTGAGCTTAAACTCTCACTAAGCTCTCGGCTCTTGCTCAGGAAAGTGAGGCTAGAATCTAGCTCTTTAGCTTGTACTTGGAACAGAATTTTATACTGGCGACGAAATCAAATAAGGGCAATGATAATCTGGAAATGGAAGCAGGTTGCTTAGCTGTAATTGCCACTGGCTCCTTTTTGTTTACTTCCTCTATTTACCTTTTCTTATCTTATCATGTATACTTCTGCATGCTTACTTGAAATCTTGTTTTTCTGTGTGCCCGGTCATGGACACCCAAACTGATTTTACTGGTACAAAAGGCGTATATATTTGATGTATATTATAAACGACATTATGCACTCTTTGGCTGGACAATGGGTGCTGTATATGATGGGTTGTTTTTCATATTTTTCATGGTGCATTGGTTTCTTTCTTTCTAAGTGCACCATCAAACTTCCAAGAGAAACAGCTTCTATCAGTCCATCACTGTCTATATATTAGTTTTAAATAAGCTGCAAGTATTGATTTGAGCTGTTGGCATTCACCTGAGCTTAATTGCCTTGTCTTGCTTCCTCTTGTGGATGATAGAAGTAAAACACATGTGATGTGTGTTTCAATGACCATAAGACAAATAATTCCAGTGTTGGTATTCTAAATTATCTGCTTGCTTTGAGCACCCTTTGATCAGATTAAACCCTTAGGAAAAGGAACTGTGTAGATGATCTGTGTCAGTCTTCTGTTTTAACACAAGGCTTTTTGGAGACTTTTCTGTGATGCCTTTAAATATTCACATATTCTAATCTGAAAGAACATCACTCCTTTTCATGCCATTTCTATGTATGAATTGAGTACTATTGTCATGGTATAGAATCTAATCAAAATTTGTAGATTGAAATTGTCACTTTGTAGGACTTAGTTTTCTTGATGTCTGAGAACAGGGGAATAATCTTAGTTAAAATTATTAGTAAAATCCGACTTCAGAAGTTTATTAATGGTAAGAGACTAAGAGTGGGTAGCTTGTTCTCTTTCTGCTGATTTTTCACACCGTGAGGTTAGATAATTGATTAGACTTTTGCAAGATAATTAGAAAGGATCCGGTATCATGAGCTTCTTGATTGAGGTTGCTGCTTTGTTTTCGGAATGATATAATATCAACCTTGTATTATCATTGCATTGAGTGCTAAAGTTGGGGTCAATTATACATGACCTTACTTCTTTAGTTTGAAGCAGCAGACATTGTGTGGTACGCCAAATGTCCAAATGCACTCATACACATCAGACATAATCGAGTTACTAAATAACTAATTCAATAATATCCCGCATTATACTTTGCATTTATTGGGGATTGGATTCTAAATCCTTGTAAAATTAGTTGCTTTATGAATTATAAAATCTGACTACCATGATTTATGATAGGTGCTGGATGCAACTGATAATGAGCCTTGGGGTCCTCATGGAAGTGCACTGGCAGAAATAGCTGTAGCCACCAAAAAATTGTAAATTCCTGTAATCTCAAATTGTCTTAGTTATTTGAGCTGAAAGGAGGATTCTGACTTTTTTTCTTGATATGCCTGGCTTTTCTTTTGCTATTTGCAAGTTCTGAATGCCAGATGGTTATGAATGTTCTCTGGACAAGATTGGGAGAAACTGGCAAGGATTGGCGTTATGTTTATAAGGTACTTTAAACTTCATCTGCTGTGATTTGAAACTCTTTCAGCTGGTAAAGGTTTGTAATCCTAAAGAAGTCATGCTAATATTTTGTTTCCCCTTATCTCTGCATTGGTTCTTATCCAGGCACTGGCTGTGATAGAGTATCTCATTTCCAATGGATCTGAACGAGCTGTTGATGAGATCATAGAACATACTTTTCAAATCTCAGTATGAATCCTTTTATCTTATCTTTTTCAGGTTATAGTGATTATTGTCCAAGAAATATATCTTATGTCTTTTTTTCTTTTTTCACATATTGCTTTGGCCTGGTAAAGTCGCTCGCAAGCTTTGAATATGTTGAACCAAATGGAAAGGATGTGGGTATCAATGTCAGAAAGAAGGCAGAAAACATTGTAGCTCTTCTAAATAACAAGGATAAAATAGAAGCAGCCCGGAAAAAAGCTGCTAGTAACCGTGAGAAGTGCGTTTTGAAGTATTATAATCAGTGCCTGATTTCTCTGTATACATAAAAAATACTCATGAAATTTCTCTGTGCATCTGTTTATAGGTATGTTGGACTCTCATCTACGGGGATGTCGTACAAGTCAAGTTCAGCTTCTTATGGTGGTGGCGGTTCCCAGAGCAGCAACAGGTATGGAGGCTTCGGTGGCAGATATGATGATGATGGTTACAAAAGCAGAGATGAAGACTATTCTGGGCAAGATAAATTTGAGAAATTTGTTCCCAAGTCTTATCAAGGAGCTTCTGCTGAAAGGAAAACAGCTCATTATAGCAGGTAGGCTGCTAAAAATTTTCCGTGTTGCTTCTATTTTCCTTTCTAATATTTTAACCCACTTTTCTTCAAAAGTAATGTTTTGCTTGTAGTTGAAGATTATATGCCACACCTTTTATTTATTTATTTATTATTTTTTTTAATCAATAATTTTAAGCCTAAATTGTAATAAACAGAAATTAAGGGGAAAGGTTTTCTCTCTAAAAAAAAAAAAAAAAAAAAAAAAAAAAAAAAAAAGAGAGAGAGAGAGAGAGAAGAAGAAGTTGGGTGGGGGTGGGGGGGGGGGAAGGTTGAAGCTTTGATTGATAAAAAACAATTTTCATAAGTTAGCAGCTTTAAGCTGCAAGTCTCCACTAGCGACTTTAGTTTACAACTCTAAACATCAATATCACAATCCTCATACCCTTCTACTGCTAAGCTACATGCCTTTTATAATCAAGCAAACAAAAAGGTAACATAATATTGATTGTGTTTGTCCTTGCTCAAGAGTATCAGAATTCAGTACCATGTTGCCAGTTTGCCACACCCCTTAGTGCTCCCTTAATTAGCTTTGTCTTCTTGTCATCTTTTGCTTGAGTGTCTTCTTTCCCCCTTTGCTGCTCACATCACTCGTTTGGTCACTCCATTACATTTACTCTATATTTTCTGTCTTCGACTCTTTCGGTATCAATTTAGCTATAACAAAGAAAATATAGTCAAAGATGAAGAACAGAATGGAGAGGAATGGGAGACCTTGAGTGATAGAAAAAAGAGCGAGTTGATATGTTCCTTAGGAATATAATTTCATGGTCTTTCATTTTGGTAAATGCTTTTTTCTCTAATTTTCATAGGTATATGCTTGATAAGAGCAATAAACATTCGTTAGGAAATTATTATCTGTATGAAGGGGTGTTGTCAACTGACTACACTACAGTATGTTGAGCTCATTACACTCTAAAACAGGGTCGCGAATTTAAGATATGTTTTTTGGAGGATTTTAAGGCTTATCTGCCTTATTTTGTGGACTATTTCTTGGACATTCCACTTATGTTGAAATCCTCATGTTATAAAGATTATAATCTTCTTCTGTGTTTTAATGGTCACTATTTCCATTACTCGCATCCTGGTAACTTGGCAAGAGATTTTACTCTTGTGAAAAGTTGATTCCACCAGAATTCAACTATATCAATCATCCAGCAGCCACCTTCTTTTTTATCATCCACGCCAATAAAGTTGATATACAATTATACATGCTGTCTAAGAGTGATTTTTTTTTTTTAGCTGTTGTTTGGTGCTTAAACTTTTTCAACAAGTCTATCACATAGTAAAAAAATAATTCACAGTCGTGTCACAATAACGTCATCTCTCAGGCATTACCTTACCTTTTCTTGCGGTCGTTGTTTGTGATTTGGCAAATTGATTTTTTTAATCACTGTTATCCAAGAATTTAGTTATACATTTTAGATTTTTGTTGAAAAAAAATACCCTTTAGAACCGTGATTTTATTTATTTATTTTGTTATATATTATAAGCTTCTAACCAATATAAAATGCTTATGAACGTCCCTTATATGGCGCTGTTATAGGAACAATTCTATGTATAATAGCATTGATAAAAGATGACGACTTTTAATACGTAAACGTAACAGTTTTCGGAATGGCATTTCTAGGAATGGAAAGTTTAAATAATTTTCAGTTCTGGCTATACGTACCAAAATGGCTTGATATGTTTCATTACTGTGTGTGTGTGTGTGCTTTAACGCTGACCATACCACCATATTATTCCTAGGGTAGGTCTAGTGCCCTGGTGGGTAAAGGCTATTGAAATTCTTAATATTAGAACAGGGTTAACACCTCGAAGCTTGCTTGTAGAATTATTGTTTTTTTTCTTATCCCTGACCAAGTAAATTTATGAGCTTTCTTAGTGATCGAATAACTGTTCTGAAGAGTGGAATTTTGAAGGGAAGGCTGAGCAGTGTAGTTGCATTGCTAGATCTATGATTCTTTACCAAAGGTAGGAGTCTGCATGTGGTTTGCTGGCTCTCTTCCACCCATGCTTTTGGACTTACTGGATATATGCCATGAAAGTGTGAATTGTAGAATATAGTCTCATTTTGGCTGATTATATGTTGTTTCTGCAGCAAAAATCAGGATCTTCCTTCGGCAGGTTCTGCAAAAGATGAATACTCTTCCGTTTCACAACAGAATGCTAACACTCCTTCAAATGGTCAGTTAGATGAAGATGATGACGATTTTGACCCTCGGGGAACTTCTGCTACAAGTAAGTCCTCGGGATTGATTCCTGTTGAAATTAATTTCGTCTTACACATCAACTTTTTTTTCCTTAAATTTTATTCAATGATCAATCGATGTAAAATCATAGAAGTCATTTTAGGTTCCACTGCTTATTGAATGCTCGAAATTGTACTTTGTTCTGTGCGATTTCAATGCACTGATAATGGTTTAATTTATGCCTCCTGTCTAAACATGGAGTTGTTGGATGCGTATCTCAAATTTCTAATAAAAGAAACTTCCCAATGGAATTGATTAGGGCTCACATTGGCATTCGTTACATTTAGAGGCTGCTAAATCAGATGTTGCAACTTATGGATGTAGTAGAAGTTAACCCATCATGTGTTGAATTAGAAGCTATTTCTTATGGATGTAGTGGAACTTGTATTTTCTTGTATGAGTTTTATTTTTTGTGGAGGAATGAGTCTAGATTAGATGACGCTAAATTACTGTTGCAGAACACAACTTTTGGCAGAATAGTGTAGGACAAAAAAATGCGAAGTATCCTGTCCTATACTATTTGAGTTATTGATTCAAGACTTACCAACATTATCTTGATTATTACAAAGCCAGGTTGGATAGCTGTGTTGGTATCTCTTTTGCTCTAAATGACAAAGTGCTGCGTATATACAAACACATCCAAATCTCACAAGCTTTTAAAATATTTCTTTTGGGGTTCTTAAAAAAAAACACTTTGGGGATTATGGTGATTAATATGTGAGGATTTTGATGTCGATATATTGGGCTTTGAATGATTACTTAGCAGTGAAGTAGTCATGATGCATAATGTGTTTTCTAAGGCAAAGCATGATCAATTTGCTTGCAAGAATCCATATGCTCTTTGTTCCTCACATATCTATAATTATGTGACTTTACTGTGAAGTATGAACAATACATGACTGATAGTACTGACTATGTCTTAATCTCAAACTGTCATTGATTTTGTGGAATTTTTTGGGTAGGAGCATGACTGCAACACACAACATTCATTAGTTATTGCATAAGCATGACTGATATTAGAAAGACTTATTTAATTTCAAAAGAAAGTTAGGACTAGTCTTTTAACTAATTCATTGTAGTTGAAACCCACTCTTACTGTTGGAGGCTTGGAGCTCTAGATGCTGCTGTAGCTCCTATTACTTACCTGCAAATCTCACCATATTTTGCTGCTGCTTCTTATTGTTCCAATGTATGCATTTACTTGTAGAGCCTGCTCCTGCAAGTACACAACAAGTGGATCTGTTTGGAGAAAGTTTAATTGGAGACCTCTTGGATGCACCTACAATTACTCCTCCACAAAGCAATGCTGTAAGTAGCAAGTCATCCGATGTTGATCTGTTTGCAGATGCTGATTTTGTTTCAGCTGCCCCTCCAGTGGAAGGAAGAGGGAATTCTCAAACTCAGGTTGGTCGCTCATTGTTAGTTTTTCATTTTTCCCAAGAATAGTTAGGGTTTCGTTCATTCTTTCTTTCTCTTTGCTTTGCAGCTTTCCATTTTTTACTTGTATGATGAGTTTCCATTTTAGAACCCTGTGATGTGTATAAGGAAAAAAAATCACTGTAATGCTTTTTACCTCTGCATGGTTTGTGACAAAAAACCTGTCTTGTGGAGGTCTTCATGTGGGAAGCATGGATGTTATACCCTACGAGTCATTCTTTTGTTGTACCATCTTTTTCTGAATCATCTCTACTAACTTAAATTATCGTGTACAATCATGCAGGCCAATATTGATCTATTTGCTGCCCAACCTGCACCATCCACTGCACAACCAGCACCATCGGCTGCAGTGTCTTCAACAATGGACTTCTTTGCAGCATCTGTTCCACCTACAAAATCTGAAAACACCGGGCCATCAAATGTGAATTTTGTAGATCCGTTTGCAACTATTCCATTGGACAGTTTTGATGGATCTAATGTTTTTGGAGCTTTTGCTGCTCAAACTGATCAATCATCTGCAGCACCCACAGAAAATCCCCTTGTGAATAATGCTGCGTTGGATTTGAATACCAAATCCGCACCTCCAAAAAAGGACAATTTCCAGGTTAAATCTGGAATTTGGTCTGATTCTTTGAGCCGTGGACTGATTGATCTTAATATATCTGCTCGTAAGTTTTTCTATTTATGGTAAATTATTTTGATTCTTCCACTTTTAATCAATGCTTCAAATTTCCATTTGTGTCCTTAAACTTTGGTTGGTCATAGTTGCATTTGATACATAGACTTAGTCAGCAAATAAAACTGAAATGCAACATCTCCGAGTCAACAAATTTTGGCAGTGGAATAGTTGGCTTCATTTTTGAAAGGCCGTCCGGTTTTGTGATTTCATGCTCCAGTATTGAACCTTCTTTTTCAGGTTTGCACATGTCCAGTTGTCCATGTGCAGGGACTGTAAAAAATGTTTGCATGTATTGGCTCTCTCGTCCAATAACTTAGTTGGATGTCTCGTTGTATCTTTAATTATTCTTAAGAATTGGAAATTGAAAGTGTGGTTATTAAACATACAATGTATGATAACTCTCGAGAAGTACTTTAGATGTCCGTACATGGTAAAGTAGTAAAACAAATGCTCTCGTCATGATTGCTAGTTCGGTGTTAGAGGTGTTCGGAAGTGGTAGACCCTGAAATTTGGTTGTGGCACCAAAGATAGATCCGTTATTCTTGGTTCCAATTTGCTGAGATGTTTGTTGATACAGGGCTCTCTTCACTTCCACCACCCCCTTTTCTCTTTGGGTGAAAGAGAAGATGTCAATGATGATTTTATATCTTTCATTTTGCTTCTGTGTATACACAGTAATTTGTTGCTTGCTTATAATGATTACCGCTATATTATCTAAACACTGCTCATTGTTTTGCTAATGAGGTATAAACTATTTTGGAATCTTCGGTGTTAATTTACATATATTTAAACTCTGTGCAGCCAAGAAGGTAAATCTGTCGGATATTGGTATAGTTGGTGGTTTAAGTGATGGTTCAGAGGAGAAGCAGAAGGCACCTGCGACATCATATATGGGTATGGGTATGGGTGTGGGTATGGGTATGGGTTTGGGTACAGGTATGGGTATGAGTATGGGTATGGGTAACGGCACAGGTACGGGTTTGGGTACGAGTACTGGATTTGGTGGAACTGGTGTTAATCCAACAACCGGCGGGGATGATTTTTTCTCAAGCTTCACCAGCAGCAGCCAGTATCAGTTTGGTGGCTTCCAGAAATGATACAATCCGTTTTAATTGGATTCTTTTGGTGACCTCAATATTTGTTTGTTTGATGGGAGGCTTAATTTTCAAGCATTTTTTCAGCATGGTGGTCTAGATTACTTTTCTAAGAATGCCATATTGTGTTCTAATATTTCATCAAAGCGAGTTATAGAGCCTATAATGCAGATTAATGAGGAGCTTTATTTTGAGTGCATCCGCTACTCTGTATGTAATGTTGTATGTACTTGAAAAGAGGGATTTGATGTCTCGATTCTGTTCTGTGTTCTTGTATTTGAAATTTTGAATGAATTGCGTTTATATGCTGTATAAAAGAGCTACGATTCATATGAACCAAATTAGTAGAGTATATGATTTTTCAGAAAATTGAATGCCAATTCCTTGTTTATTTTCCTTAGATTTATTTGTTTTAGGTTTTTTTTTTTTTTTATCATTTATTTTTAATTCTTGTTTTTCCATACAGTTGTTCTACATCTGGGACAAAAAAATTTGCTCTTGAACTGGGAAAATTTCTGCTACTAGAAGGTCCCTATTAATCTTATAGTCTGGTGATTCTTATTGTGTTATGGAAAGGGGATGAGTTTTTAGCAACCTTTAATAAAAATCCATATTACTACGTATAAATGTTGGCCATAAGATTTACGTATTACTCAATACATTTTTTTTTTTTGTAACTACTATCACTTCGAAAACCACAAGTTGTGTATACATGTTTATTGTGTTTGTGTACAAGACTAACCAGATGATTAAATTTAAGATAAACCATTGTAAGCGATATTCCATTTTAAAGATTGAATCTCATTTACATCATTACCTATTACGACTCGATACATGGTCAGCATGACAATTTTTCCTTACAAATGTAACAATTCACTTGTATGATCTAACATACAAATAAAGAGTGGGGGCAATCATAGAGATATTAGTACCAGGCATGCATATAAATGAAAGAGAACCACAAGTTACAGATTATTCCAACCAAAACACAAAACATAAGATTTTATATGCCACATGGCAATCCATTAACCAATTGGAAATCAAACTTATCTATCTTTCAAGATAAGCCCAGGTTCCTTTGGTAATATTAAGCTAATTTTTGAAGCATCAAAAAACCCATTTTGTAATATTATTCACCCAAAAAAACAGAGGCAAAAATTACACAAAAATAAAGCTTATGGCTTCTGTGTGTGCTTCTTCAGCCACAACAGCTGTTTGTGCTTCTTCTCCCAGGCATGTTCTCTCCACACTCTTCTTTAAATATTTAAATTACTTCTAAGCTTAATATATTTGTTGTACACATTAAATTGTAACATTGTTTATTGTAACATATTTTTATGACTATTCATAAAATAAGACTTCATATGATCAACTAATTACCATGTCAACCAAACAATCACTAAATTACGGCATGTGACACACTGACACTTGATTTCCAACATAGACAATGTCATATTGTAATCCTGATATTGTTTTGGTGGGTATAAAATAGATATGTGTGATCAACCTTTAAAAACCCTTTTGTTATGCTTAGAAAGAAGCTCATATGATACAAGTATTGTACAAATATTATGTAATATGAGTGACATGATTAAGTGACAAAAGTAATTTGTTACAAAATGATGTAACAGTGCACAGAAGAAAGGACATGTATTGGGAGCAACAAGAGCATCATTCCTAGGAGGAAAGAAGTTGAGAGAGACCAAATTCAGGGCTCCTCTTTCATCAAAGTCCTTTAGTGTCTCAGCTGCAGCAGCTGACCCAGATAGGCCTATTTGGTTCCCTGGCAGCACCCCTCCACCATGGCTTGATGGCAGGTCTATACTTATTTCCCTCTTTACCCCTCACCCTGCACCCGAACACTTTTTTCGTAACATATATATGAGGGTAAAATTGTAATTTTACATAAAGATTGCTTTTGTTTTAATCTCATAAGCTGATGATTGGAGTCCACGATTGATTTTATAATCTATGACTAGTGATCTTTTTTAAGAGGGTCTTACATGAGGGTAAATTTGTAATTTTACAGATCGCGTATTAGAATCTAGCTTTAAATTTGTACATATGAGTTAATCTAATCTTTAATTATTACAAGAATTATATCTATCTACTGGGTGGCTTATTCTGTTTTTATATGTTCCTGAAACTGCAGCCTTCCAGGAGACTTTGGCTTTGATCCTCTTGGATTTGGTAAGTCCAATTCAGATCTACAGCTTACATCATTGTTTTAGGTGGCAAGTAGCATAATCTGATCATTATTTTTATCTAATCATGTAACTAAGGAATTATTTTAATTTGTTCACAAGTCATAAATTTATGAATTATTAGCAATACAAACTCAGAGAATAAATTATTGTTTGGTGATTGTATTAAGATTGATGTTTTAATTATGATAAAACCTGTCAGTAATAACAAAATAAGGAGTACTTTGAATTATTTATAAAGGAGATAATGTTGTTTTATTCAGATCGAATGATCAAATTTATTCAAAGAACAAAAGTAAAACTAGGGGTGATAATGAAACTAGTCGACTTAAAACTTAGGCCCCGTAAACTTTAAGTCAAAATAATTTCAATTCAGTAACTTTAAAGAAGAAATATAGTAAAAAATCAGTAAAATAATTTCAGTTCACCAAAAAATAATTTCAATTTAACAAAATAAGGTGAAGTGGACGAGACCTTAGACTAGCTCGGTTCAGGTCACAACTACTCAACAAATCAGCTAGTTTAATTTTGAGTCGAACTCAATTTAGTAATGCATTTTATAATCAAGCCGAGCTCAAGTAGCTTGCAAATAAGCTGTACTATATAGGCAAACTTGTACGTGTTGAAAATCATTCTAGTAATGCATTTTATAACCAAGTCGAGCTCAACTGGCAAATAGATTGTACGTCTGTACTATATTGGCAAACTTGTACGAGTTGTACCAAGTTTTTTTAATGCTAAGTATTTATTTTATACGAGGAGAAGAATAGAACTCATTCAGGCTACCCGTTTATTGCAAATGAACACCAAGTTTTTATACGAGTTTTAGTACTACCTCCGGTCCAAATTACTCGCAACTTTGGGGTATTATTTGTGAGATATAAAATATTCCAAAATTGTAAGTAATTTGGACCGGAGGTAGTAACAAAAAATGTGTATACATTTGAACAGGTTCCGACCCCATTTGGGATTAAGGCTTTGATTAATTGATTGATTGAGTGATTGAACAGGTTCCGACCCAGAGACTTTGAAATGGATGGTACAATCAGAAATAGTACATTGTAGATGGGCTATGTTAGGAGCAGCTGGAATTTTCATTCCAGAATTCCTAACCAAAATTGGCATCTTAAACACACCTTCTTGGTACACTGCTGGTGAACTTGAGTACTTCACAGACACCACCACCCTTTTCGTTATCGAAATGGTTTTGATTGGTTGGGCCGAGGGCCGTAGATGGGCCGACATCATCAAACCCGGTTGTGTCAACACTGACCCAATCTTCCCCAACAACAAGCTCACCGGTACCGATGTTGGATACCCGGGCGGGCTTTGGTTTGACCCATTGGGTTGGGGTTCGGGCTCGCCTCAAAAGGTTAAGGAGTTGAGGACTAAGGAGATTAAGAATGGAAGGTTGGCTATGTTGGCTGTTATGGGTGCTTGGTTCCAACACATTTACACTGGGACTGGCCCAATTGATAACCTCTTTGCCCATCTTGCTGATCCTGGCCATGCCACAATTTTTGCTGTAAGTCTTTTCTTATGTTATCTATTTACTTATTTATATTGGAAAATGCGGATTAAAAATTTTAGCCATAAAAGACATTTACTACCTCCGTCCTTAAATCCTTAATTGATAGGTCACGCAGTCTACATTTTATAGAAGATAAACTTAAATTTCTAAACAAGTCATGATATGGTTTATATTTTGGTATCTACTTAATGATATGGTATATATTTCGATACGTTCTTAATGAAGGATAATTATGTTAATTCAGTAAGCGTGTGCGTTAATTGTAGAATACATATAGTTCCTCTATAGTTTATGTGTTTGATCACACTCAATCTAAATTATGCAATTGACCTAATTTCAGGCTTTTACCCCCAAGTGAAGAGAGCAAAGGATAAAGAAAGAGATGTTGGTTGTTCTAGGAGGAATGAGAAAGGGGTAAAAGGGTCATTGCTGGAAAGTAAGAGCAAATCAGCAGATCTTAAGTTGGTTATTTAGTTTGCACCTACAAATTGTTGGAGCTTTGTACAAATACCTCTTGGATTTAATTAGTACATAACTATGAATTATATCATCTAATCTTAGATTTACTCACATAAATCGTCCAATTTTCAGATATCGATGGTGTGATTAGTGTGAGTGTCAATGTGTCATATGCTTGATATAAAAGTACATGAATGAACTAATGCATAATCCAAGTTGCAACTATTTTTTTTCTTATTATTTCAATTTAATTACAGCGTGCCTATTGTACAGCCAAATGTATCTATATCAATATTAATATTTACGCTGAGTTAAAATTAAAACAATGTCGCTTATGACTCCCTATTGATGACTTTTCATGCACTAAGGAGCAAGAAGTGTGACAAACTAGCATGGTAATTTGGTAGCTCTTCTTAGTCATGAAGGTCTATATATATATATATATATATAACTTTTTTATGTAATTTTTAACTTTAATTTATTATATCTAACATTTCGACTTTTCAAATTATATGGTTTTTACATATCCATCAATTTTTTATTTTTTTTATTTTTTATTATTGATTGAAATTTAATTTGACAAATCATGCCTCTACATCTATTACAAAATCACGCCTCTACATCTATTACAAAATCAGGCCTTTAACTAAGTGGTATGATGAATACTTGATTGTCTAGATAATTTGAATTATGGGCTTAATTGTGAACAATGATTAAAATAAAAATACAAGTTGATCTATAGATGCCAATATGCCATATCAATTAGTGAAATTTTGTCAATGTATGAGTAATATAAAACATGAATTTTATAAAATGGACTTTTCATATATGTAGGACAAACAAAAAAAACAAAAAGGTTTTATATATAATTCATTTTCCAATTAATTACATAGTTTTTGAAAGCTATTAGAGTATTATTATTACTCGTGTATTAAATTAACACATCCATTGACTCAAATTATGCTGGCAATATAAATATATATATATATTAAAGCAATTAGGAAACCCCACTAATAAATTTAAACAATAACATAATATTCCAAGAATTTTACGTAACATATGATGTGCAAAAAGAGACATTGAAGAACCCGTTCTTTCTAAAACTTCAACCAATTGTAATATTCTTGTTGAATGTCCAACTCTAGGCTAAGTAATTTAAAGCATAGTCAACATACACAAACTAGATAATTTGATCACTAATAACGTATCATTGTCTCTTAGTTATACATATAGGTACACGACAATTCATGGGCGGCTTCAAAGTTTACAACGTTTTTTTTTTTTTAGTTTACAGGGTTAGAGCCTAGGGAGTGTTTAATACAAGTACTAGTAGTAAACTAAACTAATAATATTGATCTAAGCCGATGACTATTCAAATCGGATTAACTTTGATTTACTGGTTAGTAATTTGTATTGACTACTTTTTATAATTTTATAATTAAAACTCAATGTTCTCATTGACTAAAACCAAATCTAACGTGAAAAAATTGAGCAGCCGATTAGCCGTGAAGTGTAAGATAATATTGGGCTTTTGGAAAATCCCTTGTTTGGCCTAACTTCTATTCCTTAAATTGAGAAGGTCGTTCAAAAGCTTGGCCAAACACTACCACTACCTTAAAACTCAAGGTTGACCAAAATGGAACCAAAATTAAATGAATATGATGACTAATCACCCAAATAAAATACAAGTATCAATCAACCTAAACCAAACTAATTAGACAAATTGTATTACACCTCTATTATATAATGAAGCAGGGTAGTAAGACAATTAAAAAGTGATAATTTGAGTTGGATTATGGATAAGCCTTGTAGCTAGCTAGGTAAAAGGCTAGGTTTATTTAACCATATAAGAAGGTTCGTTTTGGCTATCCCAATAATTCAATTAGCTCGTGTTTTGTTGTTGTCGTATTTACATTTGACTTTAAGATTGTGCACAAATATATGATGATTATACATACAAATTCAACAGCTTCGATATAATCAAAGGAAGTTGCTGCTTGACTAAGGCCTTATTTGGTTGACATTCTAAAATGGGGGAATTGAAAATTCATGGGAATTAAGAAAATGAGGAGTTGTTTGGTTGACATAAAAAAACAAAAATGGGGGAAGTGGAAATTCATGGGAATTTCAACTTCCCACAAAACATGGGAAGTAAATTACCTAGCCCCCCCTAGGTGAACCAAAATTCATGGGAATTCTAATTTCCCTTATTGCCAACCAAACACATTTAAGAAATTCCTAGGAATTTCATTAAGGAATTAACTTCCCATGAAATATAAATTCCTATGGAAATTAAATTCCCACATCAACCAAACAACACCCAAGAGAATAGTATTCATGAATCTTCCATTCGGAAGGCAAAGCTTCATTATTAAGTCCATTTTCAATTATAACTTTAAATTCTTTTCGATTATGTAGGATATATCCATTTTCGATGCTATAATAAATTAAACTAAAAACTAGCACCCGATAATCTATCTGGTATGGCTTGGTGGTCGCATTTTTCTATTTGTGTCTCGTGATTATAGACTTGATAACCCTCGATAACGTTAGATATGAGATCGGGGAGAAATCCACCCCACCCCTACCTCTCGGTATTAGTTCTAGCTAGTTAGACTTGTCAATTTCTAACTTGACTCGACCCGATTTCAAATCTATTTTACCGAGAGAGAACCCGAGCCAGACCCAAATGACCCAAAATAGATCCAAATTGACCCATTATTTATCATAATTTGTAATGATCCAAGTAATCCAAACCACTCAAACCAAACGATCTAAATACCCGAAATCTGACCTGAACTTGATCCATTGACCTGTATTGACAGGTCTAGTTCTAGCCTACTAAGGCTAGAGCGTGACACTTGTGACTATGTGAGAGCCAGAGTTAGTCTTAGTTGGGTTATTCGCCAATAATTCAAACCGGCCTAACAATATAAATATGGCATGTATGTTCAACAAAAGTAATTAATGAAATACTTCGTAATTATTAATCGTTCTAATACTCCATACATACATATAACTAATTGTTTTAGTGTCTTAATACCTCATATCTAAACATGTGACAAAGTTTCACTCAATTATCCATATTTTTCTCTACAATTCAATTTTAGTATAAAATCATTCTTTTTCTCTATAAATTCGAGCTTAGAAGACGTGACAAATATAATACAGAAATAGCATGTGTGACTAATTTGACTATCGTTTTTAAATAAAGTTATCATTAATAGATGTTAGACTTTTATAGGTACAACATTTTTATTGGCAACAAAATGCACTTTTACTATAAAGATCGAAAAGGCACATATATAAGTATAAGGGTAGAATTTTACACTTTATTTCCAATATAAAGCAAAAGGGAATGAATCGTTAATGAGAATTCAAACCGTGGAAAAATTCTCCAAATTAGGCGATTTATCCTACTTTTAGCATTCACCGTAGGCTATTATTATAGCCAGCTCTTTTAAGTTCATTTCATGCAGCTATATTGAACGAATTGTGCACCTTTCTTAAAATGTGACCTTATAATAATAATAGTCTCTTTCAATTGAGGTGACTTATTAATCAAGGAATATTCATATGCTTGTAATGACAATATAATAGGAACAAGTTGAAAAGACTTAATATATGTGATCCCTTGTCATCTAATGTATGAGTAAATTTAACCACATGCACCAACCTATACGGATGGCCTGTTACGTCTTTTTAATGCACATCTTTTATCATCGATGGTTGAAAACTTGAAACCCATAATTACGAGATTAATAGTGATATTGTTTAATTAATTTCATGGGAGATTGATGTAGAACAATATAAATGTATATAATTGATCATGGGTAGTCGGACTAGGTTTATTTGTTTAATTAGATTGGAAAATCCCGGTTCAATTCGTATAATAGATAAAATTGTACAGAGTATTAAAGACGCGTTTTTTTTTTTTTTTGTTGAATTTTCCGCCTCGGTTTATGATGAGGGACAAGTTAGCTAGGACTACAAGTTTTACAACACACCTTTATTGAGAGCCTCCACAATGCTCAGGAGCAGCCAAATAGTACTAAAAAACACATCGCCTCCTACAAGTCTACAACGTACAATGTACAATGCAACAAACTTGTACAAACGAATCCTAGTACATATTATCCATTTTAACCTTTGTAAAATTTTCCAAGGAAATCTTTATGAGCCATCCCACCTTTATTTGTTCCTTAAAATCTTTAAATTGAAATTAAACAACTAAGTAATTTTAGTTCTTTATACATACCGTATAAATTAAACACAAAAGTTTTACTATAAAGGCATCAATATATTTACTTACAAATTATTGATAAATCATAATTATATTAAATGAAGTACCTCAATATTTTTGGGCAAAACTTCATTATTTTTTACTAATTAACAGTTTTTTTTTTTTTTTTTCCTTTTGAATTTTTAGTAAGGTCGCACACTCACTTTTTCTCAAATACTCAGCATTGAAAATATGAAATTATGTTGATTTTTCTTTTTGGGTGCTTATTTTGACTCGTCCATTTGGGTCAATAATTAGCAAAGTTTACATTTCTGTTGGATTATGTAAAATTAGGAAAGTGTGTTAATTAATGCAACAAACATCTGCCATCTTAAATAAGAAAACTCCATGCAATAAACATCATCTTTTTACTTTGTTAACTCATTATTTTGAACAACATATTACTACTCCCCCCCCCCCCCCCATACACACACACTTTTAAATACAATAATTGTTACGTTTGATGATTTTAAGCGATAATTAAGAAAACAAAGATGGTTGAAAATAATGAGTAGATGTCACATATTTCAAGTATTGATATATTAAAAAAATAAAAATTGAAAATGGTAATATTTGCTTTGGGAGTAGGTAAATTTTTTGATAAATTGGCTTAATTGTTTTACAATCGAATAGGTAGATAATAGATATTTTGGTAAATGGAAATTAAGGAAGTATGTACAAATGAGAGAAAATGTGTAAGAAAATTTGTATCGGAGATAACTTGTAGAAAGAGATGAAATATAACTAGCAAAATATAGTCATCATTTAGGAACGAGGAGAGTAAAAGACTAAGGGCATGTTCACTGTTCACATTTAGTGAACTGAACTGATTGAAGCTGAACTGAAATTAAGTTAAAATGAACATGCCCTAAGTAGATTTTTATATACTTCACTTCGTAGTACACTATACTCAAATACTACATATAACATGGAATTTTCATAATTATTATAAATA